CAAAAATAGAGATTGATTAACTCTAAAGAAATCCTATACCATCGCCCTACACCTATAACTACTGTTACTCTCACTTATAGCAAATTTTTTGAGCCTGTTTAGTGGTGGCATAAATATGATGAAGGCTGTTTGTAGATGTCCCTTTTGGTCTCAAGGGGTGATATTCAATGGGAATTGATAGGATCGCTGAATGTTTCCAGCATTTGATAACACCGAAACGGATAGTTCTTGGCATTATCAGTCACCTTGAAGGCTTGTAGAATTGTGTATTTCCAAAAAAAATAGTACCTGATACAGCATACAAGAGTACAGCCAAAAATAGGCAAGAATCGGTATTCCGCCATCTTTTCAGTTCTTATGAAGAAAAAAAAAGAAGAGCCGATAAGTGATTTTCCTTCTTTTCAGAATCCTGTCATGATTAACCATTCAGCTTCGACTTTCACGAAGAAGTTTTTTTTCGTTTCTTGAAACTGATTTACGCCGAACAGCATTTTCACTAGGGGTTGATGTGCCATAGATTTCAAGAATGGCAAAGTACTTTTCGAAATTCTCCAAAAAACTTTTTTCAAAACCATCTTTTGTGGCATCATTGCCTAACCACTTCCGCGTAAAGTGTTCGATTACTTCACCAAACAAGCTGACTTAGGGTCACCTCTATTAAAATCTTTTTTTTGCGAACTTCTCCGTTTTTTAGGAACTTTTCCCAAGTACCTTCTCTGGAATGGGTGACTAAAAACAACCGTTAGCTTCATCAATTTCGAGCAAATCGGAAGTCTCGTAAAATAGCCTAGGACAATTGGCTCTTGTGAACTTCATTGTTGAAAGTTTGTCGGAGTGGTAGCCATTCAAGTTTGGGTAAAAACTCGCAAAGAAACGGTTTTATGCAGTCCAGAAGATCACTAGCAGCTTTACAGTCCCATGTTCAATGGAACGTAATTCCCTTTTATTTTTTCCAGAGAAATTAAGCTTTATCATCACCGTCTTCGAGGTTTCCCTTCATAAGGCATAGAGTGGCACTGCTCTTTTTTTCTAGGAAAATATTGTCTCTGATAATCCGAAGAAGAGATTTTTTGTGCTTGATGCTCTGGAATGGATTACTTAATATCAGCCTTCTTAGTCAGCCTCAGCTCTAGTTAATATCCCTTCTTTAACACACCTCACGTGGGGTCTTCTCACGTACGATAGCGAAATTAGTAGTTTAGATCAGTATAAAAGCATTATCAAAGGTATAAAAGCCATTACCTTACCGAGATTCCGATACCACTACTAGTACCATCCTTCCAACAGCTTCATGATATTGATGTGAGCCCCACTGTCAGAGAAGAAAGGCCAATTCCATTCCAAATTAGCCTTTCTAAAGTTTTAATCTGCACTATTGAGCCTTTAAGCCTTTTGAGCAAATATCATCATTACTACCATCCTATTCCTACAAAAAGATCTCACACAAGCAGGTTTCACCCACGGTTATAGGATGAAAATTTCATGGTGTAATGCACTTCACCGGGCTCGTCAATCTACAAGACGTAAATGCTGGGTATTTACTTGATAATTCTTTTAAAGAAGTTTTTTCAACCCTCGTCTAGCGAAAGATAAGCTCTCTTTTACGTTTCCTGAGTGTGTGCACTCCCATGAAGTTTACAAAGCCCTCTTGGAGGTTGTCCCACCTCTAGAGAGGTACAACAGATTATGTTTTTGAAGTGCGCTGGGCATTTTGCATTCTTTTACAATCGCAAAAACACTGACACTCATAAATATTCCATACTCCCCCCCCCCTTCCCCTCCCCCTTGCCCCCTACCGGAATTGGCTAGGATATTTTCCCAGAAAGCTACTCAACCCTAGGTAAGTATTCCCAATGAAAATAGGGCAGGATACTACCGTACTTACTACTTACATTTACCTCCTAGGCTCAAGTGGACCCGAACCTAGGTTCACGCAAGTGTGAGCAAGTATCCCACCACTGCCCCCTCGGCTGTGTCTCTCTATGGCAAGGAACTTGAGGCGACACTTCTCCCTAATTGTATTGGTTGCTTGTTAATTTATTTTAATGGAGCCTTCATAACGTGGGGAGATGACGTCTGGCTCGACATGGGAGGTATAAACAAATGAACCAGTAAACAAATAAACCAATAAACACCTTAATGCCGGTCAGAACAGATTTTGGTGAATCTACTGGTTCTGTACTAGTGTAGGGGTTGATTCAATCGATTTTTTGAGTGACATATCGAGTTTCAGGGCATTTTTACGTGTTGTGGCTATCGTCTTTGTTTCCAGATTTTCTAAGGGGTGGTTTGTTTTCACCTAGGCAGCCATACGTTCAACGGAAAATCTTTGGCTTCCATGCCATCGCCAGTTACCAGATGATGAACTGAAGTGGATTTTCCTCCTAATCACTTTGGTCAAGTAATTCTAATCTCTTTCCGACTCCGCGATACATGTTTGGATTTTTCGTGTCATTTATATCGTCCGGAGACGAATCCCGAATCGATTTCCTCCCATGTCAACCAAGCCTTCCATCTCGTCCGATTCGGTTACTCGGAAGGAGACCCGGTTGGGAGGGTAAGAACTCTAATTGGTACATCTGGTGGCCCCCGCAAGGCATTTTATAGGTCTCAGGCGCATCACAAGCCACCACAATTCTGAATGGAAGTCGAATGCAGGGTGCGTCTTAGAAACAGGCTTGATCAACCCCAAATCATGTCGTATTGCTTGTTTCTACTGGTGCTGAGTAGGACTCATTTCTCCCGACCAGAATTTTCGATTAAATTTTTTCTGCTTCAAATGAATCTTATCTTTCCTAAAAAGGTAAAAATGACTAGTTATGTACCTATCAAATTTAGACCGAGGTTCTCTGTATATCATCTACTCCCGGTTAGGATTAAGAGGACATTGTCAAATCCTTTTCAACCTATGGGATTCATCTAGCCCATCCGGGCCCCGTGAAACTCGTCGGTGGCATTAGCTCTTCTGCTTTTTTGAAAATGTGACCAGATGAATTTTTAAAAGAATGTGTTTGGTGAAAAGGTAAGTGAATTTAAATTTCCAATGTGGTGGTTGTTCGATCAGTTTAATCTCTACAAAGTCTACAAATCTTTCTATTCTTCTTTTTTCCTTTCTATTTTTATGAGCATTCAGTTTTTTTTTTT